TGTGTGTGTGTGTGTGTAAGTGGTGAAAAGCTCTTCTATGTCTAAATTATATTTTGTGCAGTATTTTAAGTAATATTAAGCTTGTTTGTGTCTCCAGGGTTTCTAGAAGCATCAAATCACAAAAAACAAAAACAAAAAACAACACACCCACACACACACACACAAACCACAGTAACACTTACAGATGGGTATTAGAGATCATTAAGGTCAGAAAAGCAGCATGCAAACTCATTTGTAAACAACATATTTTTGCTCCTCAGGGCTAACTCTAAGCAAAATTCAACATCTATGTAAATCTGTATTTTCCCCTAACTCTGTATCTTTTTATTTTGAGAGTTGTGACACCGTTTCCCCCATATTCATCACTATCATATAATTATGATATGTTCTGTACAAAGCATACCTTGTGCGGTATCATTCTAGAAGACTTGTTCTATTGAATATCAATATCCTGATGGATAATATGTGCTGTCATTGTATGTCACGTTATGAAGTTTTGCTCCATGTGTGTTATTGAAAGATATTATGAAGGTTTAAGTATCCATAGCTAGTCTTTCAGGTACAACTATAAAAAAGCTAGACAATACTAATGGCCCATCAACAAAGGTGGAAGCCATGGAAAGGTTTTATCCTCATCAGGGGACACTTCAGACAGCCTATGGATTATGGCTGCCGTAACTCAATAAGCATGCAGGGGCATGTGACCAAACTACATGATTCTGAACTCCATTTTGGTATCTATATTTTTCCACAAACTGTGCTGGGAACTCAACTTAGAACAAAGGGGTATCTGCCATATGGAAGAAACTATAAAAGGGGAATATAATATTAACAAGTGACCTCACTCCCTGTAGAAATCAACACCTGGAAACATCTGAGAAACAAAGACTGAACAGGGAGAAGTGCTGGACCAAAGCTGGAAGAGAGGATTCCTGCCTGTGTATAAAACATCTACACACTGCTTGTACAACCTAACAGGCTGAGACAATTATTCAAAACCTGTGCCTGTGTTAGAATCAGACTGTGTTTTTATTTGGAAAGTAATAGGAAGGAAAAAATTGTCAAGTGACCTCTGATATGAAAACAAGACAGACAGATTTATAATCAACAACAACAGTGGTCACCAAACAGGAGATCAGGATCTACTGGTAGATCTTGGAACCTTTGACAGGTGATCCTGACAGGTTTGGCTGGGAAGCTATCCAGTGTCGGCACTTCATCTGCTCCTCTTAGCACTGCCATGTTGCTCCTGCCCTCTGCCTTGGAAGTGGTCCCTTACCCATGGGAGCCTCATGTTTGCTGTGCATGGCAAGGGAAAAAGAGGCCGGGGGAGGGGAGGGGGAAGGTTGCTGATGCCCCTCCCCCACCCTTTACCCCATCTCCACAGAGCAGATGGGGCAGGGATAGAGAGAGTTTGCTTCCTACTTTTGGGAGTGGTGCACAGCCAGAGTAGGGGTAAGCCTGCCTTAGCCCCCTGCACCACCACCCAGAAGCCACCTGTGGTAAGCAGTGCCCAGCTGGAGCCCGTATTCTGAATTCTGGCCCCAGTCCTAAACCCCTCCTGCACTCCAAACCCCTTCCCTAGCCCTGAGTCGCCCTGCACCCAAACTCCCTTCCAGAGCCAGCACCCTGAACCCCCTCCTGCACCTCAATTCCCTGCCCCAGGCTCAGCTCAGAACCCCTCCCACACACCAAATCTTTTAGCCCAAGATCAGCGTCTGCATCCCCACCCTTCGCCCCCAGCCTGATAAAAGTGAGTGAGATATGGGGGGGTGGGGGAAGGAGGATATAGTGAGCAGGGGCAGGACCTTGGAGAAGAGGTGAGAAGGAGGTAGGGCAAAGTTGTTTGGGTTTGAACTAGATCCTAGATTGCACTTATACTTAAAAAGGTTCGAGATCACTGAACTACAATCTATTTTTCTGTAGTTAAATATATTTTATATTGTTACTTAAAACAGTGGAGTGCTAGCAAAGTATCTGGGAAAAAAATCTCAGCTCCGTTAACAAAGGCTTTGTGCATATTTCTCTCCATATCAAGGGAACTGTCCAATTGGGTAACAGCTCTCATACACTGGCCAGGTTTTGACCAGGGCAGAACAGTATGGCTCTGGGGTTTTAGGCTGGGGAGCTGAGAGTGTTTTGGTCGAAGTTTCTCTATTGTTTGTTCATGAAGTGTAGAACAGATCATTCATTAACACCACTGGGCGTGGCTCCTGCTTGTGAATGTCGGTTAGAGTGTGAGCTTGAGCCTGGAGGGCTTTGCAGCTTGTTACAACCTCACAGAATGGCAGGGAATCCAGACTGGTAAAACTGAAGGCTCAGCTGCACTTGAGTTCCTGGTGGCACATGGTGAGTAGGGGGACCCATCACATTTACATTCTGGTATCAGGCTAAACTGCTCCCTTGTTTTCATATTAGAAGTCATTTGGCAATTTTTTCCCTTCTTATTGAACATTTTGGAATCTTTCACTCATTATTTCAACTTGTCTTCCATCACTCTTATTTGTTTGCAATACAAAATTGTTTAAATAATATCTCCTCATGCCAATCCTCAATCTTCTGAAGAATCTAAGTAACATGCCTCAGTTGATCTGCCTGGACAGGATACTTCCTTGACTGCAAATGGAGGTAGGGACAGAACTGAACAGGAACAATTAAAAAATTTCTCTGAAGAACCATCATTCTGAATGCCTATAATCTCCCGCTCTATTCTCTAAAAGCCATGATGGCATGAAGCCTGAGATTTTTGGCAGACAAAGCATATCTTTAAGCAAAACTTTAGAACCCACTTTCACTCCCCCACAATTTTAGGAAGCAAATAAAACTCTACTGGCTGAACTTATCAGAGCCAGCAGATAAGAAGCCATAGAAGGAATAAGCTGCTATTGCAAAGTAGGGATGTAAAAGTGTAACCTTGTACAGGGTTAGCCAATGAGCCCGGGGTCATCAATTAACGTTCACGGTTACATAAAGGCTCCAGGTGCTCATGCTTAAAAGCCGGCTCCCAGCACACAATGGCTCCTAAGAAGCTATCTGCTGCCCCGGGTACACCAGCTCCGAGGGGAGCTGGCTGTCTCCCCGCAATAGCAGCAGCAGCAGCAAGGAGCCCCTGGCCCCTTTGAATAACAGGGCCCCAAGACAACTGCATCCTTTGCCCCACCTCTTGCCCTTTTCCCACCCCCACCTTCCTGGTTGGCAAGACTGTGTATTTATGAGCTGCATCAGCAATGCACAAGTCAAACTGGAGTACAGGAAGAAACTAAAGGGATGAGCCATTAAGAGGACATAAGAGCCCTGCAAATCCAAAGGTATCTGCATCCACAGAAGTACATGTGGATACCTGCAAAAATGAGCTGCAGATGTGGATATGGATGCAAATTTTGTATTTGTGCAGGGCTCTAGGCATAAGTATACAATGATCCTAGGGATTGCTAACACTGCTTATCTCTGAAAATAAGGGGGGGAAAGCCTGTGCTGGAACCCTAAGGCTTTGTATCACAAAGCTGTGTAGTGTAGACAGTCATGTCACTAAAAGTCAGGCAGTTTAAATGCTATTTGTCAACACTTTTGCCAAAAAAAACACTTCCACACCTACAAGTGGGGTTCCTGCTGTCAACAAGAGAATGCTCCTGCAGACAATGAGCTGTTTACACTGTCATTTGCAGGGGCAAAACTTTTGTCTTTCAAGGTTTGTTTGGTTTTATAAAGCACCCACGAACAATAGAAGTTTTGTGATTCAATTGGCAGCATAGAGAAAATCTAACTCAGAAACATTCTGACTTTATTGAATACTTTTTTTTGAAAGAGACTGGAAAGCTCAACTATGAAGCAATATAAAGAAGACTACTCTATCAATGTAATGGGTGGGATTTTAAACAGAAGCAGATTTGAAAATAAAATATTTGTACAGAAATCAATTTCTCTTCCAGGTCATTTTCTGTGTTCTATTAAACATTATTAAATACTTCTGTTCGAGGGATAAAAAATCCCCCTCCTCCCTGGCCCAACTTCTCCTTTATGCCTCATCTACCACACAGGACATACCACACTAATACCAACCCTGGTACCTTCCCTTGCAACAAACCCCGTTGCCAGCTTTGTCCACATATTCATTCTGCTGATACCATTATTGGACCTAACCAAGTGAGTTATAAGATCAAGAACACATATTCCTGCGCATCCAGAAATATAATCTACGCTATCATGTGCCGAAAGTGTCCGTCTGCTATGTACATTGGACAAACATCTCAGACACTTCGCCAAAGGATTAATGCCCACAAAACAGATATCAGACAAGATCACAAAGAGAAAACAGTTTCTTGCCACTTTAACCAGAAAGGACACTCTCTAAATGACTTAGCCACCTGCATTCTGCTACAAAGACCTTTTACATCTGCACTTGAAAGGGAATCCTCTGAACTGTCATTCATGTTAAAATTCGACACTTACCACCAGGGACTTAACAAGTCTTTGAACTTTCTCACCCATTATCAAGACAGTTTCCCCAATTATCACCTGTAATACCATTAACTCACAAACATCCCACTCTCCCTACCTCTAATATCATCAATTCACAGACACTTACCTTCCTTCCTCCCCCTTCCCACCCCCCCGCCTCCTCCTTCTGTTCTGCAATGTGATTTGTCCTTTTCATATTTGTTCTTTTTTTTAATTGTATCCTTTGGTATATATGGTTGTGACTACTTTCTTCCACTATTTGATCTGAGGAAGTGGGTCTGGCCCACGAAAGCTCATCATCTAATAAACCATCTTGTTAGTCTTTAAAGTGCTACATTGTCCTGCATTTTGCTTCAACTACCCCAGACTAACACGGCTACATTTCTATCACTATTCTACCAACAAAGTTATAATCCTGTTCCTAATTCAGATATTCTGTTAACATTGAACAGAAAAAATACACTGCAGACTCTATTGGACAGTTTAGTTCAAATTTCATGTCTCTCCAAATGAGTGCCTGCTATGTAAAACCTCTAAACAGTTATGAAAACACTATACTTAATGTGTATTTGTTTCAGGTATATATGAAAAACCAATCTCAGTATTTCACAGAAAGAATTATTTTTCATGGACATTACTTGAAAGAAAGTTTTTTATACAAAAAGAAATACGCCTTCTTTCCCCATCACAACCAGAAATACAGTTTGTAAATTAGAACTCTGACACAGTAATGCTAATGTAATGCTAACACAGAATGCTGTAAGGGGAAAAGAGAAATATGGAGTTTGAAACACCATAAAATTGTAAATCTCAAAGGATTTAATAAATGTCAAACACCAAATTCCCATTTTACAGAGAGAAAGCCTGAGATAGATTAAGGCTGCAAAATAACTCATTGGCAGAACCAGCAACAGAATCTATGTCTTGAACAAATATGTTATGCTGCCAAGGTTACAGTAAACTAAATTATCAGCTAGAAAAAGTATTTATCCTCAATAAATTAGTTCCTCTGTTTAAACTCAGGGAAAAAACCCATACATTTTACCTTTCACTGCCTGGTGTGGTTATTCTATAAAAACGATGCCTCAAGTGATGCTTGTCCCCATGATAACAAACCGTGCATAAATCATAATTTGTGCATTCAGCACATTTCCATCTAATGCCAATGATTGGTTGCTGACGACAAGTATCACACATAGTTCCATCATGCTTGATACCTATAAAACAAGAATGTGACATCAGTACGATTTTAAAATACACAATTTAAATATTCATTGCACACCAACATTAAGTTAAATGTAATATCAAAGTATATTTGAGCAAGTAGGATTCAGTAACCATATAAGCCATGCTGATGAAAAAATTACTGATGGAGGAAGAGATCTGCGGACTATCCTTCATCTTTCTGGTTGTTAGCCATGGCTGAAAGGTCTTTCCCTTCCCAAGAACTGAATATACATTACAGGCATTTTAATTTTTTTCCAGCTATACACTCAATACAGATATTTAAGAGGAAAGATAAAGAAGTTTTCCTTAACTTTTACGCATAAATTGTCAGAAATCCCCATCAAAATACTTATCTCTTGGGGAGTTTTAGCTGCCAAGTTAATTCTCTATCAATGGATAAATAAGGAACTGTGACAACTATTGTGCAGTGACACAGTTTATGTTAAGGATCTAACAGCTGATGCTTTAGTCTGATTTATATTTAATACCTGTAAGACAATAAAGAAGCTTAAATCCTATCCATCTATATTTTTTTAACCACACTTTAAAAAATGTATTTTCCTCATGACCAGTAGGAAGCTCTCCTGGACAACTGCCATTATTTCAGTCAATATGCTTTGATTTAAAGCAAAAATAAATTTTGTGATTTTTGGTTACTTGCCAAACCTGAACCATGTGCAAACTACTGGAGTGTTTTCTCCTAAATCTGGCAAAAGAGAGCTTCAAAGCCTCTCCATGCTAATGGCTTTTCCAAGCTACAGCAGAGTAAGAAACAAGCAGGCCTGAAAGTTTTCACTACTGCTGTTCAGAATCCTGTTGAGAGCAGTGAAATGGGTAAGAATCTAGTCAACTTCACTCTACTGCTGTTTAGGAAAGTTATGAGCACCAGAAGCAACAAGCAATGGGACTACTCCGTGGTTAAGTTAATGCAGGGGTGTCCAAACTTTTTTCAAAGAGGGCTAGATTTGATGAAGTGAACATGCGTGAGGGCCGACCATTTTGCCTGACATTCTTTGAACCATTAAAATTAAATGCAAATTAACTATTTTATGCAAAGTTTATTGCAAACGGCATACTTTTCATTTCGTCACATGGATGACAAATCTAAACAGGTGTTAAATCACTCTGCCTTTCATATCTGAAGGCCAGATGAAAAAAAAATCCAGGAAGCTGAAATATATGTCAGGAACATTGTAAAGTACATTACATATTATTGGTAATAAAGGTTGTCTGTCAACTTTTAAGTTCAAAAAATATGAACAGGAACATAACACCAAGTATACATGTTGTGTCCAAATATATTTATAACTGATTTAGACCAACTGACATTAACTGAGATTTTACAATGTATTCATCTCAATACATATGGATTCGTTAGGGGCCATAAAAGATAGATATTGCCAAATTACCTGGGGGGCCGTATTAAAGCGGAACACGGGCCGCAACTGGCCCGCGGGCCGGACTTTGGACATGCCTGAGTTAATGCAAAAACGGGTGCTAGAGGAGCGTTAGAATGAAGAATCCCTCCCCCAGTTACCCACCTTTGAGACAGTTAAGCATCTCTAACTAAGGACGTAAGCAACCAGTAGATAAGCATATGCTTATCGGGTAGTCGAGTAGTGACCCGACTAGTCACTTCCCGCCCCCTTGCTGCCTCTCTCTGATAGAGGCATGGGGGGAGCGGGAGCCGGTGCTGGGGAAAGCAGTCTTAAAATCTGATTCCCCCCAACACTGTCTCCTCTCTCTGATAGAGGCATGGGGAGGAGAGGGGGGAGAGCAGAAGAGACAAAGGCATAGTAAAGGAGCAGGGAATCATGAGCCAGGAATCAACTGATTCCTGGCTTGTGCTCAGTCCCAGACACTGCACCTTTGCTTTTTTAAAGGATTCAGAGCCTGGCAGCTCTGAATACATTTAAAAAGCAGAAGCACAGTGGGGTTAGCTCCTGGGGCTGGGAACTAATCCCAGTGGGGCTCTGCAGTTTCCCCACTTCCCGACTAATTGAGTAGTCAATGGAAATTCCATCAACTACTCAATTACTGATTAAACACAATTTAACATCCCTATCTCTGACATTAGACAGGACACAAGAAAAAAGTAAGTGTTCCTTCTCTTGTCCAGAAGAGACAGTGGTTTGTGAATGAAAGCTTCAAATTTATCAGCCACTTAATTTTACTAGATGCTGATATGAAAGATGGAAACCCCCCTTGTGCAAATTACAAAATAGACATAGTGGTAGGAACCAGTTTTCCTTTACCAATGGCTTGGGGGAGAGGAATCACAAAGGGGAGGAACAGAACTAACTGCCTTCCTATCCATCCATTGCTCCCAGATAAGGATCCTCTCACCCCTTCGTTTCTCTTTAGAAGCAAGGACTGGCATTTAGCAAACTTATGTGTGAAAATTTCCCTACCCAGGAACAACAGAAAGAGCCATAAGGGCTGTCCTACCTTCCGAGGATCCCCGGGTATGCCCAAGTATAGGAGACATGTCATTTTTGCTACACTAAATGGTAAAAATGACTCAAAGGCACCAAACTCCTTATTTTCCTACTTTGAGATCATAATGGAGTGACACTGCCCACTTTATAAGCAAAAAGGATACATTCCTATTGCAGACTTGAAAATAAGGTAAGTGACTAGTCAACTAGTCCAGTGTTTCTCAACCTTTTTTTTTTATAAACTACGCCATTTAAAAAAAAATTGTAAGTATCTCCAGTACCTACAGTTTTCAGACACACAACATTTTTTTCTACCATTGCAACACATTTGTTTAAACAACTTGATAGTAGCCAGGCAGGCTATGACATTTTTGGGTGTAAAAAGTACAAAAATAATAAAGTGCTGTAAAACATAAATCAAAAATTCAGTTTTCTCCAAATTTCAGTTGTGTTGATGTACCCCCCAGACTTCTCTTGAGTACCCCTAAGGATACTTGAACCACTGGTTGAGAAACACTGAATTAATCACTTCCCTCCCCCCTTTCTGCCTCTATCAGAGGAGCCAGTGCTGGGGACAGGAACTAGTGCTGGGGGGAGCCGACTTAAAATCCAGTTCCTCAGAGCACTGTCTCTACAGGGAGCAAGGGAGGTAGCAAAGACTGGGCGTGAGCCAGGAATCCGCTATCCCAACTGGTGCCCAGTCCCAGGAGTTACACCTCTGCTGTCAGCTCTTAGTATGTTTAAAAAGAAGAAGCGCAGCAGGCGGGTGAGAGTGGGCCAGGAACCCGGCACGAACTGGGACAGCTGATTCCCAGCTCATGCCAGGTCCCCCCACTATATACAGGGGTGGGCAATAATCAGCTTATTATTAATAATATAATTAATAATTGTGCCAGAGCCCCCTGCTGCACTCCTGCTTTTTAAATGTATTAAGAGCCGGGAGGTCACAGGTCCATAAGCTAACCCTGCTGTGGCTCCCCCACTTATTAAATGACTGGTTGATGGAATTTTTTCTTCACTCAGCACACAGTCAACTGGTGGAACTCCTTGCCATAGGATGTGGTGAAGACTAGCACTTCAACGGGGTTCAAAAAAGAGCTAGATAGATTCACTGAGCTTAGGTTCATCAATGGTTATTAGCCACAATGGGTAGGAATGGTGTCCCTAGCCTCTGTTTTGTCTATAAATGGGTGACAGGAGAAGGATCACCTGAGGATTACCTGTTGTGTTTCCTCCCTCTGGGGCATCTGGTATTGGCTACTGTTGGCAGACAGGATACTTGGCTAGATGGACCTTTGGTCTGACCCAGCATGGCCGTTCTTATGAAATTCCATCAACTAGTTGATTAAACTAAATTTAACATCCCTAGTCTACAACATTTGTAATCACTTTCTATTCTGCCACTTATCTCATCCCAGGGCTTACCCCAAAGGGACTCAGAGGAAAATCTCCCCATTCCACCCCCCCATACTTTTTAAATTCCTTGGTTGATCCAAAAAATCATCCTCTTATCAGAAATTATTTTCTCTTCTTCTTTACATCTGTTTCAGTGATGCACTCCAAATTCAAGATTGTATCATGCTTAATACAATACTGAAAGCTGAAGTAATTAATAATCAAGAGGTTATCAATTTATACTCCTTGAAAAACAGGTACCTATAGAAAGTGGGGAGTGAGGGGGAAGAGTTGCCATTTTTAATTAAAGTCAGCTACAAATAACTACTCTAGAAAAGTTTGGGGGTAATATGCACCCCACCTTCACTACTCAACCCTAAAGATAAAGGAGAAACAAGGAGAAATGATAGAGACAGAAAGTTAAAGATTTTTTTTGAAATCAAGATGATTTTGCAGCAAATGGGGGAATTAACTTAAAAATACTTTTGCTAAACAAACATTTATGGAATTGTATTATCAGCATTCACCTGGTCAAAATTAATAGAGAAGAACTATAACCAAAACACATGGTTTTATGATGAACCTCAAATATCTTGGCAATCCACAATTTTTCTCTTTGGTTGAATCAAGCTGTCTGTTAGTAGATCAATATAAAACATGTTTTATTGTTTACTTAAATGAAAATGAAGTTTCAACAACTGAAATTATAAAATACTTAAGGCAGGACTTAACTCTTAAGGTAGGTATGTGGAACATGGTTCTGGAAGTGTGATATTTTTAATGAAGCATGTGAAGTTTTTAATCCAATACATCATTTCGAGCAATAATGGGCATATTCACAAAAGAGAAGCAGAAACTCACTTTATAAAACTTTGACAGATCACAGCTAAGTCAGTGATTTTTTTGGCTAAATCTTAAGAATTTCTGAAAGTGGTTTTGATATTTTTGTAGTTGAGATTTATGAATGTTTCCTGTTTCTTTTTGGTTTAACAGCAACATATTTGTAGAAGAAAACTGTAACAAATCTGTAAAGTCTAAACAAGTACACTATATGATAGTGAAATATCTGATGATCGGAAATACAGGTAACAAAAATGCTTCTTATGAGACCAGTCAAGGTGCAGATGAGTTCTTTGCCATTTGAAAACCCAATGGTCACAATCAGATGTTATCCCGCCACAAAAAGATTCACTGGATCTCCATAATGGCAAGATGTCAAGACTGAGGCTAACACCTCTATCCATAAAGCAAAGAAGAAAACAATTACTGCAACAGCATGGTTTCCCAAACTACCTCACCAATGCAGCTCATCTCTGAAATGAAAGTGTCTAGTCAATATCTCTAGTTTGGCAGACATGGACTAAGAATTTCACTTCAGAAGTCACTAAACAATCTTCAGGCACCATTGAGTTTTAGTAAGCAATGTTTCAGAGAGGCAGCATTGTTAGACTGTTTCAGCAGCGAACTAGCCACACTCAGTCAGCCAAATATCCACAATGTTCAAGCCAACTAGCCAAGCTCAACCGGCCAAATAGCCACATGTGGCTAGTGACTAACATGTTGGACACCACAGTTATAACTACCACAAATATTTAAAAGGGTCATCTGAAGAAGTGGGCTGTGCCCACGAAAGCTCATGATACCATCTACATGTTTTGTTAGTCTTTAAAGTGCTACCATACTATTTGTTATTTTTTAAGTTTATCCTGTACAGACTAACTAGGCTACCCCTCTGAAGCATTTAAAATATGTAATTTTTAAATACAAATATCTTCTGTCCATTATGTGTGTCCAGGCCAGCAAATAGTGAAAACAAATTATTTAATTAAGGTTATTTTCTAAGTCTAAATCTGTTTGACTCACATTTCTTTATGATTTGATAGTAGGAAAAGATTTTGTATTCTCATGAGACAACCAAAAGGATTATATGTGCCATAACGTTCTATAGCAATCTGGTAACAAAACTATAAAGATGCACCAGTGGAAACAAATGCACAGTGTATATTACTGAGAATTCTTTTTATTAGATACAGGCAGTCCCCGGGTTACGTACAAGATAGGGACTGTAGGTTTGTTCTTAAGTTGAATCTGTATGTAAGTCGGAACTGGCGTCCAGATTCAGCCGCTGCTGAAACTGACCGCCAGTTCTGACTTAC